TATATATATATATATATATATATATATATATATATAATTTTAAAGATCACTTATACATTCCGAAACGTTTGGTTATCGATTTCTTTATAAATGTTGCCTAGGTGCTTCTTATTTATTATACCTGCAAGATTAGTTTCCGTTTCGCCATATGATGTTTCAAATTAATATAAACAGGAACAGACTGTTCTCATTTAGATTAAACAAAGAACTTGTAACATGAAAATTAAAGTTTTGTTTACGGATAAAACAATAAACATGTTTTAAAATATTTTTAGTTACTCCAGTAACTCGGTAGTAAGTCTGTAGGCTTATGACGCTAAACATTTGGTTTCTATAGCCGTGGTGGACACATCACAGATAGCTCAACAACCAAACCAAATCGTTCCTCATAACCCTCTGGCTCTTACGTAGTTATTACAGTTAAAGTGTAAACTCCAAAACGTGCCACTTCATTAACAGTTCGTGTATTTTGTAGAAATTAGGATTCAGTTTTGTCCCCCCCCCCCGAAAAAATTCTGAAATGGTGCCATTGTTTTTATTATACAGCTATTCAAATAATAACACTTGATTATTAAAATTTATAAATGATGATATTTCACAAGAGCTTTACTTTGTAACATAATACTGGAAGATAAAGGCACGTTCTCAGAATTTTTTAATAAGGGAAACATGCACAACACGAGCATTGCCTCCACAGTCTTCTCTTAAGTTCTTCCCACAACAGCTGCTGTTCTCTCCGAGCTCCCATTAGTCCAGTCTTGTTCTCAGCGGCTCTACGAGCAAGATAGGGCATTACCATTTCTACTGGACCATAAGGTAGTGCCTTGTATACTTGGTATCCAGCTTGGGCTATAATAAAAAGAAGCAAATAAAATATCATTATGTAACCAGTTAATGTCAGGCATAATGTTTCTACAATTTTAAACACTCAAATGCTTATCTAGAGGCCCGGCATGGCCAGATGGTTTAGGGCGCTCGACTCGAAATCTGAGGATCGCGGGTTCGAATCACCGTCCCACCAAATATGCTCGCCCTTTCAGCGTTGTTATAATGTGGTGGTCAATCCCACTATTCGTTGGTAAAAGAGTTGGCGGTGGGTGGTGACGACTAGCTGCCTTCCCTCTAGTCTTTCACGGCTAAATTAGGGACGGCTAGCGCAGATAACCCTCCTGTAGCTTTGCACGAAATTCAAAACAAACAAACAAGCTTACCTAGAATTACAGAAATGTGGTCGCACATGCCCAGTAGATGACCAAACGTGACTACAGTATCCTGAAGACGATCTAGTTTATATTCTCTTATCCTGCTGAAAGAAACAAATAATCAGTGAAAGGTGTGCCTGTTTCAATGCATAATTCTTTGTCTTACACGCACGTTTTGAATTCTAGTTTACGCTGAATGAAAAGAATAAATATTTGGGTCACAAAATCAGTGTAGTAACCATAGGTAGATAATGTAACGTTGTTCAAATATACTGAAATTCTAACGGCGTGGAGCTCGCAATAAACAGCAACAAAATATTATAAAGTTAAATGCTCATATCATTACTACCGCAAAGTTCTTTTCGTCTTAATCACATTCTGAAATATGTTTTAGTTCATAGTTCTATAGTCATCTCTCAACAATAATTATAAAAGCAATAAAACGTAGATTGTTCGATCATTTTTTGAGGTACAGCTAACCCTCGTTCTCTCATTTCCTTTACATTAGACTGGCCGATAAAAAGTCTATAAATAAAAAAAATAGCAAAAAATTAAAGTAAAATTTAAGTTTCGCGTCAGTCGACCCATACCTTGTCACAGCTAATTTGGTGCTCTCCTCATTATGTGTGGCGACCATTATGTTTATTTTTGCTCCTGGCCTGCTTGCTGTATCTAGCAAGAAACTCAGAACTCTGAAAAAATAACACATATCAAGTATAAGAAAGTAAATATTTTTAGGAAACATTTTCAGATGTGTCATTAAATTTGATCCGTAAAACCATAATATTCCGTGAAAACAAATATACTCTCTTTCTTTCTTTTTTTAATTTTAAAAAATTCCGAGATAATATTAACATATGATGACGTAAGAGGTCACTGAGACAAAAAGTTTATTTCAGCAAATCGGATATATTACGTAACAGTTAATCTACCGAATTTTTCGGAATATAAGACGCACCCTTATTTTGAAGACAAAGTTTTGGGGTAAAAAAAGCTACAATCTCATCTGAAAGATTTTTATTGAACAAAAATTCAATTTGATACTTTAAAAATTAGTATATATATTCTTCTAAACACAAAAGAGCTCGAAACATCAAAAT